CCCTTCGGCCTTGGCTTGAATGTGGGGATTTCTAATAAAATAAAGAGTGGAAAGTGGGGGTGTATGGGGCGCACATAAAAGATTGCTAAGACTGTTATACTTTGTTGTTGTTCTTTGCATAGGATTGTAATACCTTGTAATTTTGTACGGTTTAATAACCCAAATTTGAGGTTACTATAAAGACTTGTACTGGTATATTGTGCACGCAACAAATCAGCCTCTGCTGCATAGAAGACTTTGGTATTTGAAGAAGAAAAAGAAAAAAGGCTGAACAATTCCCGCCCGAGCTAAGCGTGTTGATTGGGACACATATTCTCTGGCGGCCTCTGAAGGGCTCTGCGCATTATTCTAGTTAAATATAGTTAAATACTCCAAGTTCTGCATCTGCAGGAGTACTGTATTTATTAAATGTTTACTCGTAGCAGCGAGCGGTTCGATCAAGCAGACACCAGCGCCAGAGGTAAGTATTTAAATTACGCTGCACGATATTTCAAAAGAGAAGAATAAATTGGGCGGAGGTGAGTAGAGAATAAAAGGAAGAAAAGAAAGAGTGAGTATAAAAAGAGAAATTGAAATATAAAAACAAGAGTGGAAAAAGTAGGGATAAGAAAAGATTTGAAGCAAAAAAGAGAAGTGTAATAACCAGCGCACGACTTTTGTAAGAATGAGAAATAAGAGGATTTTTGGTGAATAGGAAAATAAGAGGAATAAGAATAAGGAAGTAAGTAAAGTGAAGAATTAAGTAAATAAAGAAGAATTTTGATTGAGAAAAAGGAATAGAAGTGTTTCAGGGAATTTAAACAGTAACCTCAATTTGGGAAATTTAAAAAAAAAACATCGTGGTCTTAGCGACTTATTCTTCTCTATTTTATTTTTCTTTTTCTCGCACTAATACTTTTCATCTTTTCTCCTGTCTGTCTGTCAATCTCCGCTTTTCCTCTCCGTCCTCTCTCTTTCATATCTATCTAGTAGCCTCTGCTACTGTCGTTGTTAATTTAAAGGTTTATAACAAAGCCTTCATCTACTTTGTTTTCTAACTGTAGCCTCTGCTTCGTCATGAATAATCAAAAAAAAGAAGAGGTAGCTCAATAAACACATATATTTCCTTCTTTTTTTTTCTAAATTTATTCAGTAGCCTCTGCTGCTGTCCTATTAATTTAATCTCCTAAAACGAGTCCTTAATCTAATTTGATCATTAGTGCAGCTTCTGCTGAATCATAATTGAAAAGTTTCCTCGCCTCTCTTTTTCATAAAAAGGGAATTGATCATCAGATCCTCCTGCCTGAACTGTCCAAATCTATTTGGCCTAAGCAAAATGCAATTCCCACAAAGTGACCCCCTCTCAAATGTTACTCAACGCTTTGAGTTGCAACACCCCAACAATTTAGTGAAGGTCTCTGACGTCCTCACAATTTTGAAAGCAGTATGCGTAGCTGTGCAAAATATACAGCGCTCCACCCGCCAGCTCAGTAGGGAAAGCGCGGAAGCTAAAGCTAATCATATAGACCTGTGTATGCAGGTCAATCTTGTTTTAGGAAAAATTGCCGAAATTGCACCACAGACATCCTGTTCAGATACTACACAGATTAAACTAACACCAGAGACACCCAACAATCAACCTTCACCAAATGGGTCAAGACTTTCGTTTGCACCAGCTAACCCTCTCTCTGACAATTTAATAATTCAACAACAGGATCAGGATAATCTTAACATGATTTCGCGCTATCACCATTGTCACGAAATTGCTCCTTTCACTGGGGACGATAGCACAGAACTTTCTACCTGGCTGCGCAAATTTAACGAAGTCGCTGCAGTACGAGGGTGGAGCACGCCGCTAGAGAAAGCGCGACAACTGAAAATTCATCTCGACGGTCTTCCTCGCGACCGTTTTGAAAAGCTGCCACAGGCGGACCAGGATGACTATGATAGGGCCTTGGACAAACTCTGTGAATGTACGAATCTCCGGCCATGAGAGACCGCGCTAGGCAGAAATTGTATAGCTACTACCAGGGTGAATCTGAGTCGGTCCATAGCTTTGCCCTCCATCTGAGACAAGCGGTAAAAGCAGCCACTCCAGGTCTTTCAGATGTCACCTTTGATGAGATGCTGCGAGATCATTTTGTGGACCGCTTGCATGCTAAAATTAAGTCGAATGTTAAACGTGATCGGCCACGAACCTTAGAGGAGGCACTTGAGTCAGCACAGCGTAGTGAGGCACTGATAAAAGAAGGAGAAATCGCTGCTGCGGTTCGAAGGGGAACGTGTGGTAGTTGTGAGAGAGTATGCACATCTGCACAGAATGCGATGCCCGCCACAGCTTTAGACATATTATACCAGATTCGGAATGATCTGCAGCACCTTAAGCTTGCAGATGCACACGAACGCACTGATCCGCACATCGATGTACTTAAAAGGATTAGGAATGAATTGCAGGAGCTGAGGACTTCCCGGCAACCCTATGCCTCAACTAACCGCGCTTCAGCGCAGCCATATATGAGTCACTTTATACCTTCGCGTTACAACCGAGACGTAGCTAACACAACCCGTCGATATGAGCGCAACTACGACAGCAGTTCATACTGCACGTACTGTAAGAAAGTAGATCATCTAGAACACGAGTGCTATCACCGTATGCCATCACAGCACTTCGCACCCTGATATACGCCTCCGAAATCAGCACCCATCATTGCACCGCGAAGATTCAGTCCACCTCGGTACACAGCACAGAGATGGAACCCGAGATTCGGAAGAAGTGAACGGACTGGCACATGGCACGAAACAAGGAAAGTATTCGGACGATCCAATAACGTCCGAGGTCGACGAAACCTGCGGCGAGTCTCCCCAACAGGTTGAATTAGAAGGAGTAACGCATACCTTCCCCACCGTCAAGGGGGACACATTGGCTCGATAATACTATGCAGCTCGCCAGAATATGATCGATATGATCATACTCAAATCCGCTCTTTGCTGCACGCAAGTGTAGACCCGGAAGCAGGGGGAGCAAGCACCGAAACGCACCCTGTCCTTGCTATAATGCAACATCGGTGGGTTCCGAGGGAGGGAAAGCAATATTAAAATTATCGCTACTGCACGCTCTGCCGATTCCTCTCTCACCCAAGATAATTTCCATTTTCTAATGAATCATCAGAGGGTAACCGTCGCTCTCTCGCGCGTTAGGTACGGCATGCGCGTGATTGGAGCTTTCCAGCTATTGCAGCAGCAAGGCGCAAGGTGTGCCTTATCGACACAGCGATGCAGCTCACCCGGATTTGCTACGCATGATTCCGAGGCGGATATGGCATCGCTCGATGTTCTATATGGAAGATCCAATGAAGTGTTGGGCAGGGATCAACTATCGTGAGCTGCCCAGTCAACGGAGATGGCTTCGACTGTATATATGTATATAACATTTTCCCACAATTCCAGAGCCGCATCCGCAGCAGCATCAGCAGCAGCAGCAGCAGCAGCAGCAGCAGCAGCAGCAGCAGCAGCAGCAGCAGCAGCAGCAGCAG